ATTTTTTTGGCTGGATTCGAGGGGTCTCACTTATGCCCCATGGTTTCTCCCTTTATTAAGATCAAAGACTCTGTCGCCACTTTTACAAGAAAACTTGCATACTTTTGAGATGTGAAAGTACAAATTGACCAAATTGCCGTTCCTCACAATGGCTGGGGCTTGATTGTCTGGAAGAAGGAGACGTACCCTCGGTTAGGTGTCCGCTTAGTGTAAGAACTTGAATATTGTGGAACATTAAATTTTAAACAATCATCCCTCTGACTTACTGTACTGTACAACTCTCCCTTGGTGTTCATCGCGATGTAATTTCCTGATACGTTTCCTCTCAGCATCACTTCAGCTGTCTTAACCGACTCCATAGTGAGAGTAGCTACAAGATAGTAAAAAAAAAAGATACTTGTGACTCAGTTTAATCCTTTAATTCTTTCCCAAGATAACGGCTGGCTTTTTAAACGAAAGTTTGTTGTCTTATCCACGAGTTTCCACGTCATTCCGCGATTTCTTTCGGGTTTGACGAAGGTTTATGATTTAAAGGAACCTGGAACACCCCTCCCCCCACTCCGCCTTCTTTCTTCCAACACTCACAGTTGGCCGGCCAATATAATGAAACTTCAGTTAGAAACCGCTGGCACTGAAAGGAAAACTAAGCTTACCGTGACGGTTATATGTCACAGTTTACAGCAATGGTACAATCCGCATCATGTCTGGCATCTAACGAATGTCGAGGGCATTTTCTTGTCCAGGGTAAGACCAGGAAAGATTACATTGGCCAGCGTTTTCGCCTCAGTGATTGAATTTGTCATGAAATATCTGGATTATCCGGCTAAAGTTCGTTTCCTAATTCCTCTGGGTACCAAAATGAAAGCACACTAAGCTTTCAGTGTATCTTTGGCCAGTATTTTCCGGCGATTTAAAGCTTGTATTTTGCATTTAAAAAAACTTTGAGAGGGTATTGGTGAGGAAAAAGCGGAGTAAACCTGGTATGAATGGAAACATCTTTTGAGTGGTAGTGAAAATGGCTTTCAAGACATTTCATTGTTCTTAGTGCATCGATCGACGAGTCCATGAAGCGGGGCGGACTACTTGATTTAAGAGTTTTTTTCACTTGGTATTATAAAACCAGCGGTATCCCTGTTTTCATTACATTTTCAACCTGTGACGTACGACTTTCAAAATATGCCTACCGCACCTTATCTTCACCACCGACCCCAGGAATGTTTGCGATCACAAGAATCTACTGAGGGATTGTTGGTATGGGCTAAAAACGATTTCAGTTTGAATTTATGGGCTTAGAAAATGACGGAAATATGTGACAAAATAAGAACGTGAATAATGAACAGTTTCCATGAAATGAACGTAGAAAACGAGATTTTCTTTTTCTTGTCTAAAAATGACTGAACGATGGAAATTTCTCACAATTTGGCAAGTTCCTGCCTTTTAGTTTCAAGATGTAAATTCATTCGAAAAAGATAGAACGAGTAAGTAATTGTCTTCCTCTGGCATTTGGCTTTTGTCTCCGACGAAACTTTTATTGAAACTGAAAAATGCGTAAGAAATAAAGTTCAAGGAAGCAGTTCAAAAAAGGAGATTAAAAAAAAGTCTAGTTTGTTTAAAATTGTCCATCACTAACAACGAATGAGGTAAATGCACAACCTTCACGGTTAAAAATTCAAACTATGGTCTCAGTTCTGATGGCCTCAAACGGGCATTTTGATTTCCGTTGGGACTTTCGAAATGCTAAACATCTTTCAGTAGTATTAACTAATACAGTATTAATCGATGATTTTTGTAAACAACGCCGGCGCGAAATACATTTATACATATATGGATATCGCAAAAGAAAAAGTAAGCTCGTATCCTGTTTCACAACTTTTGTTCCAAATTCACGCAAGGAAAACAAAGTAACATATTAACTTTGTCATTGATTTACTGTGTCTGATTCGTTTTCTTTCCCTTTCAAGGAGATATTCCACTCCTGTTGGATAGTTCATTGAGTTCTCGTAACCTTGTTTGCTTTCGCACGGGAGGGATCCCATGTCAATCGATTTAAGTACCCTGCTATTGATTTGAACAAATTGGTAATTTAAGCCGTGTAAACAATCACAAAAGAAATTTTTACTTACTGTAACGATCGTCACTGTCCCGGGTTCCCTCAACTCCACTCTCTGTCACTTTAAGGTAGAAACCGTGTCGACATTTCAAACGGGTTTCACGTGAATAACTCGCTAATGGCTTGCTCATGCCGCTATGTATGGAACTGAATTTACAGGTTCTGATATGCAAATAATTTCTTCAAGAAAATGTTGTCGCGATCCTGCTTGGTGCAAGAAGTGGCGTTTCACTTTTGCTACTATTAAAAGCACGTGGACGGCGCGTAATCATGACTTTGCAAAGCTTCCTTCGAGATTTATATTTTCTTATGCGTGTCTTCGTCCCCAGTCTCTCCTCCGCCTTATGATACCTTCTTGAGTCATGATGTACCCTAATAATGGTCAAATTACCCTTTTTACGCCCAAAAGTGACCAAGAACGAAATTTCTCCTCACAATATCGATAATAGAAAGGTGATAAGGAGAAGGAAGAAATCATATTTGGTGCGAGGTTTAATTAAACACCAATTCCTTAGAGCGAAAGAAAATTTGTAGCAGACAATGAGGAGAATTGAATTGATTTCATGATCTTGGGAGTAAGAGAATCAAAGGGTGACAATGATTTATTCCAAGAGAATATCAATTAACAGTGAATATTCTCTTGTCTATTCCTAGAAAAACTTGAGCTGTCACTGAGATGAATCTACAATAAGCATTTAAGTGCATAACTCCAAAGAAATGCCATCCAATGACTCTTAAAATCAATCCCATTTTGGCAATGCAGAACGACGCTTCGTTCATATATCGACAACCGTTCATCTATTTATTGAATTGCCTATTTATCACAGCCAATAATTATTTTGAAACATCGTAATAAAGTACAAAAGTTGATGAAATTGATGCTGATTTATTAAACACTGCTTGGTAAAAATTCCACGGCTCTATGGCCGCGTGCAGATTTGGGTCCAGGTTTTGCTTTGCCATCATTTGTCAGCGCTAGGAACCATCCAGAGTGGGGTTTGGACTCAAAAGAGCTGTATCCATTCGTGTGCTGATGTTCTTTGAATATGCAGTCCTCCAGCAAGGAATTCTGTTCAAAAATAAATTAAATAATAAAGTGGGATATTTTCGTTTTTCTTTCGTCACAAGATACATGCAAAGTTATCAGCGTGTACATTGGCCGAGAAGATGTTAATTCGACATTTGCGTTGAAAACAAAAAATTATCTCGTTGATGAGAAAATGCAATGTGATGAATCATTATTTGCAAAATTGTCATAGTCTACCTTGACCCGCCCTTCAAGCTAACTAAATATATAATTTTTAGACTGTTGCAAATATCCGAGTAATCAATCATTTTAATTTCAGGTGAGTTAGATCGATAAACTGCTTATTCACCCCAGACTTCCCAATAGGACACTGGAAAACCCATTCCAAAAATTCACTCTTTTCCGACAAGGTTATCGAAAAGTCCAAACTTGATTTCCCAGGCCATTATAGCACTTATTCGTTTTTACGTTTTTGTTCGTTTTTTTTTACTTAACGAAGGAGAATGAAGCTAAGAGACTGGATCCACCTTGTTGGCTTTATAATAATTTCCGTGATAATCCTATATTGGAGTTTCATTTGGATCATTCACGATTCTGGATGCCGGTAGGATAAAAATTTAAAAGTCCTCGTTTACACTGATGAACATTCCACGGGTTGTTATTCGTTCTCCAACAAAACATTGAAGCAGTGAACAAGGTACATGCGACACTATGTTGAAGAGACTATATAATTGGAGTCTAGAGGTTTTTAATTAGAGAATGATTCCGGTTGAAATGGAGAATTTAGCCTTTCAGTTAGCTTGACTCCTTTCTTGCAGCTTCGAGATGGTTTACGAGGAAGTCAGACAGTAAGTGAACACTCTTTCGCACATTCATCATTAAAATTACATGAAATTTCTACTTACATACGTTACGATGTTTCCGTTACTGTCCATTCCAATGTACTTATTGGATACCTCTCCACGAATCACGACTTCCCCAGGAGCAACAGAAGCCATTTGAAGGGTGGCTGTAGAGTAGATAAACAAAAGCTTTATTTAATAGAGTTTTGTCTGTAACTTATGTATGAAATGGAAAATGGAACCACAACAATTTACCGATTATTATCATTATTTTTTAATCGCGGCTCCATTAAGTGACGATTTACCCCCCACCTTCACCCCCTAGGGCGTTTTATCTTTTCCCCCTTTCTCTTTCTCAAAGTTTTAGGAAAACGATTGCATACGAAAGGAAATCAATATTTCTAAATTGGTAAGTATGTTCCATTTTTTCCCGACAGACTTCCCAACCCTTCACCTAACACGCTGTACGTTATGAGCGCAATATCAAAGAAAGTCTTCATGTCTTGAACAGAAAAAAAAAGCTCTTTGCTTTCAGTTGTCACCCATGACGCGTTAGGTTAGCTGTGAAGTCAATAGTTATGCTTTTATACTTTCCATTTACTTCCTACTCAATCAATAACCTAACATGTAAAAACTTGAAAGTTCTGAAGAAAAAAATTAGTAGCGTATAGCATGAATAGTCTAAGTTTTCTCTAAGTTCGTTTTCAGGCTTTTTTCAAGCTCTAACAGGAGCCAATTTAAGGGTTTCTGACTCTATCAAAGTAAATGAACAGATTTTACTTTTGATGGAAATGTTGATGTTCACTTGAACTTAACTCTCAGCGATAAGGGATTGGTCATATTTATCAGGGGGGGTTAAAGGATTCTGGGGGACTCACGTGGTTTTCAGGAGAACGAAACGGAGAGAGAATATAGAAAATTGACTGCCAGCGAGGGGATGGGGTTTATCAGAATACTACACAAGGGGGGGGGGGGAGTAAATCAGGAAAATCTTTCGACCACTCCCCTTCCGCCTCCCCCCCTTGCCAAGTTATAAACGATGGTCAGTCCCTAATTAAAATGATTTCTCGCCACATTTTAACTTGTAGCTACCACTAAATACTCTCAAACGACCCACTCTTCACATCTTATGTAACAATGGTAGGACAAATACGTTCCGAGTTGCGCTGGCAATTGAGCCCAATCATTAGGGCTGTGTTAAAAGCTTATCAGGTTGGCCTTATGGACATTTGACAAAGAACTGACGAGGTCTCAATCTGTTACGTGAAGTTACCCTAAAACATAAGCTGGCAACGCCAAACTGCCATAACAAGATCACTTCAATGAGAATCGTCCTTGACAATTAACCTAACTTTTACCGGCTCAACTAGCTTTCCAGCTTCATTGAAGATTGAATCAATGGTGGAAGATTGCAATAGTTGTTTGCCTCAAGACTATGTCTAGATTTAACGTAAAGAATTCCACTCACTGTAAACATCATTATCATAATCTTGACTTCCCTCGACCAAATCATCAGTCACTCGCAGGAGGAATCCTTTTCTGGAATGCAATTTAGTCCTACGAACTACATTGGTTGTTATCTGTTGAGAAGTCATCTTGGAAACGTTGATGATTTAATCTCGGCAAACTTCTGCTTGTGCAACAGTCAATAATCTTTCACTTTCAGGAGCGAATATGTTAACTTTTTCAGTGCATATCAAATAGTTTTTTATATCTATGAACAACACTTAGTCCATCTTTTGCGAATTACATCAGTTTCCAAAACGAAATTCCAGCCGTCGCCCACGGACCATTCCTGACTTGATGACTGTGATGCGTCTGTTTTCTGAAACGCTAACCGAAATTTACAAAAGCGGGGAGCACATTCTTTGAAAAATAATGATGCTTAAAATAATACCTGACTACAAAACAAAGGAAAGAAAATTATAGTGAAGTGAGCTGATTTGCATGTTCCATTACCCACTCAGGCGTGGCGATATAAGTGTGTCTGGGTGCAGCGTACCATTATGGAATCTTTAAGAGCCAGCCTTCTGTAGATATGAACGTGGTGAAATGAGAAAATGACAAAGATGAAGCTTCAAACCAACTAAAATTGTGGATAGGTAGAGATAAAGGAGATCAAAACGGATTGAACTTGGAAAATTTTGTCTGAGTTGTTGTTATGCATTAAACAAGACTTTGATATTTTTAAAAATTAGCTTGTATCTAACATCAATCAAGATAAGATCGCTTGAGAGGTTACTGAGTACACCGACACTTTGAAGGAGTCGACTAAGTCACGATACGTCAGTCAATCTCAGCAATTATTCTCAATGATAAGGAAACCTCACCGAGGCAAACAAACACCAAAGAAATGAGATCGGAGCAAACAGGAACTTAGATAGGCAAGGATGGAAGAAATAAATACGGACTACATATGGCGGCGAAGTTAGATAGGTTGAAAGAACTATTTGTAAGGTGCACGACCCAAAACGTAGGTGTTTAGAAGAAGGTGGTCAGTACAACATTTTTGTGTTCGTAGAAAATTTTCTCTGGTGTTCGGAACCCAGGGGAAAAAAAGTAACCAAATTTTCTAAAGTGGACAAAAAGAAAAGTTGTAATTAATTACAAAGAAAGAGGAAACTAGTTTGATGAAGATACAGAGAATGTAAACGGATTTTCGCCAAATAAAAGCCATACAGTAACTGCTTTCACACAGACAGTTTCTTACCTAAAGTGTTCTTCAACGAGAGGCGTTTCCGTAGATCGAATAATACAATGATATTTTAGCCCATTAAAAATAAAAATTTTTCGCAATTAATTTTGCATAAGAAGCTGCCAGAAGCCAAGCCACACACGAAGAGTCCGTCAACAATTTTTTTT